ATGGATTTGGCACTTTGGATTTGTTGCGAAGTTCTCTTCTAGTTGCGTTGGTGTATTTCCTCTTAAACTTTCTAACAAACAACAGGTTCGTCCTGGTAAGCTGTAATTCCTTATCACTGAGTTTGGACGGATTCCCATCAACATATCGACTGCAGTAATTAATTGACCGTCGATAAGCTTTCTTGTTCTTTGCCTCTATTGATTTGGCACTTTTGGCGTTCAGAGAAGACCCTTTTCTCCTTTAACATGCCAAGCGCCTATTGCCAGGAGAGCAGTGGCTTATCGGTGCTAACCGACGATGTAGTTTTGGATTCACCGAAAATTGTCAAGTCAGCGAGCTTAGTTTCATCAAGGAATTATCTTGCAGGTTCAACATGGATATCCGTAGTATTTATGCCCTCTTCCTCGTCAGTCGAGGGGATTCCCCAGACATCACTGGCAATGCTGTTTGACACGGTCTAAGTTGGGTCCATCATCCGCTGTAATATGGGAAACGCTGCAATTTTTAACGGCATTGTCTCTTTCCTAATTTTCCTTCCGTTTAGTTCTGCATGTCGTCATGCAGAGTGGAGGAATTCTGCGCACTTGACTTGATTTTTGAGTGAGGTTGCCAAGGCGACCACACCAGCGTCAGTCGAAGATGAGTTATTTGTGTTTTGGTAGAAGGAGAGGATTTATTATTACCGTCTTCCATGCGTCATCGAAATGTGAATGGACTGGTATGTAGTCAGAGTACGGACTTAGCTTAGTTTATAACTGTTCGTCTCAAAGAATATTCGGTTTAGTTACCGAGTACTTGCCAGGCTATGCCGTCGAACAGCATTATGGTTATTCGGTTATTTAAGATGAGCCTCTTTCCTCAGACCCGCTGCTTATTTAATTTGGAGCTGCACAGTATGTCTAATGGGCGTTTCACTATCCACAACCTGTGGACGTGTCCGATAGCAGTTAGTAGAATATTGACCATAGGTATTTTGATATTTTGATTTTGATGGTATAGACAACAAACCATGTAAAAGGATATTGCCTATGTAGGTTCACATTTTGGTATAGCTCCCAACCTGAATAGTAAACAGAATAAGAAGAATTGCCTTTTTTCATAAAGGATTAATCAAAAGCACTTCTTTTCATAGAACACCATATAAAGTGCTTCTATCTGCAAAAATAGACCATTATATCCTAATTTCCAAGACCATAAGGATTTATACAGCAGGTATAATGTAGATGACCTGTAAGTTGTCATTACAATTTTGCTTGCATTTCTCGCAAAAAAAAGAAGTTCTCAATTTTTATTCCAACTTTCACTTTTGTGTGGGTGATTAGGAAAATTTCCAACACATACATAACAGTTTTACGGTAATAATTTGCTTCTTTTCGCTACCTAGCTATTAGTTAGTTGGGTAAATATGACTGGCGGCAGGATGGCAAAATGAGTAGCTTTATCACCACACACACTCATTTTGTCCATGCTTTGGATGTAGAGCTTCCTTTTGTTTTAGTTTACAACTCCCCCTTCTCAACGCGGTGTTGTCTCCCCAATCAGCTGCCCACTGCGCATTTCTAACGCAGTTATACTAATCTAACGAAATAACTAACAACAACCTAACCTCTAAGTCTGTTACCACACACCCCAAACTACCCACCCACCCATCTACTCAAAATAGTTTCACCTCAGACAAACGTTTTCATGTTAATATTGCATGCATGAATATTTCTCATTTGGGTCGTTCTGTTTTTGTTGCTGTTTTATGCGAAATTCTTGGTTTTTGAGTTGCTTCTGGTTGGCGAAATGTGGGGTGGTGGTGGCTGTGACGGTGCAGTGGGATGTGTTATGATTGGGGTCTATGGCGGTTCTTCTTGTCGCCTGTCTTAACTTGCAAAATGAAACATGTCACGAACGTAAAACTCATCGTTAGTTCTTTTTTTTCCTTTAAATCTAACATAAACAAATTATTTATTTGCTCTGGCAAATCCTAAAAATTCGAAAATTTTTCCCACAAAAGCTAACAAACAAATTGTTGTACTTTTATTATTTCTAGTTTCGATTTTAAACAAATACCCCATCAATACGACGTCACACATATCGAAGACAACTGTTCCGTATATTGCTCTTGTGCAAATCAAAAGAATGACGTGTTCCCCCTGTCAGTGTTTGTGTGGCGGCGAACTATGTTTGGTTCAATTTTTGTTCTTCACTTTTTTTGTTTGGTTTTATTTATAGCCATTTGTTGTACGAATAGTTGACTAAACTCCTTGTCTTTGTTTTTTTTCTGTGTCTTTTTGGTCTAAGACATTTTTACGCTTTTTTTATTATTCGTTTATTCATTCATTCAATCAGTCAGTCAGTCACTTGCTCATTCAGTCATTGTAAACTTGTCCCACTTTTCATCAAGTGGTTCTTTTGTGTGTTTCGGAAATGAAGGACATACTTTAGTTTTTTTTTCGAGTATCATTTTTGTTTTTGTGTTGTATTCATTCAGCAAGAGTAGACGAAGACAACGGCGACGGCGACGAAGTGTTTCGTTGGTTGTTTGGAATTTTTGTGTTGCCACTGAATAGTAGTGAGGCGGCGAGGTAGGAGGTTGTTTAACATCAATTTGCAACAAAATGCCATAAATTCTAATGCAAATTGAGTTAAGTAATACAATTTAGATAAATGAACGATGTTTTTGTCTCTTTTGAGGTATAGCTATTAAATGAAATTATTATTCTATGTTTTCTTTTGGGCTTAAAGTACGGTTTAATGTTTGAAGACTTTTGTTAGAAAGTTCTATGACGACGATAAAAAAAATAAATAAAAATAAAAAATATTAGAAAATAAAAAAATAACAAAAAAATATTTATGGGCTTAATTCTCAAAAAAAATTCCATGAAAACTATGAGCGATCAACATCTTTCAATATTTCAAGCTTCCTTATTCTAATGGAGACGTATTTAATAATTTTCGCGAGGTGGAGTATAAAATTGGCGTTAAAACAGTCTACGCCTTCGCGTCTTGAAAAAATCTTAAAAATGTCCACGCCTTGGGGCCTTGGAAGAGTCTAAAATATCTTTACAAAGGGCCACGCTTTCGGGCCTGGAAAGGGTCTAGGGAAATCGTTAAAAGCTTTTCGCTTTGGGGTCCTGGAAGAGTCTAGAAAAATCTTTAAATGCTTTAAGCTTTGGGGTCCTGGAAAAGCCTAAAAAAAATATTTAAAAAGTCCAAGATTTGGGGCCCTGGAAGAGTCTAAAAAAAATAAAAAGTCCACGAATTGGGTCCTTGAGTCCTTGGGAGTCTAAAAAATCTTTAAATAGTTCCAAATTTTCGGGGCTTGGAAGAGTCTAGAACAATCAAAGTTTAGGTCCTGGAAGAGTCTAAAAAATATTTGAAAAGCCCTCGACTTTGGGACTTGGAAGAGTCTAAAAATTGTCAAAAAGTCCACGACTTTGGAGCTTGGAAGAGTTTAAAAAATCTTTAAATAGTCCACGTCTTTGCATCTTTATGAAAAAAATCTTTAAAAAGTCCTTGCCTTCGGGAATTGGAAGAAAAAATCTTTAAAAAATCCTCGCCTTTGAAGAGTCTAAAATATATAAAAAAAAATTCTTACTGGAAGCGCTTAAAAATTTTTTAGAAAGATAAATATCGAAAAATCCACGTCTTAAGACCTTGGAAGAGTCTAAAAAAATCTTAAAAAAGTCCACGTCTTAAGACCTTGGAAGAGTCAAAAAAAAAAAAAAAACTTAAAAAAGTCCACGTCTTAAGACCTTGGAAGAGTCTAACAAAATTTTAAAAACATGCACGCCTTCGGACCTTTGAAGAGCCTATTACAAATCTTTAAAAAGTCCACGCCTTCGTACCTTTGAAGAACCTATTACAAATCTTTAATAAGTCCTCGCCTTCGTACCTTTGAAGAACCTATTACAAATCTTTAAGAAGTCCAAGCCTTCGTACCTTTGAAGGGCCTATTACAAATCCACCCAGGCAGCTAAAAAACCTTCATGATCTTTATCATATTTAGATCAACAGGTCTATCAAGTATGGTATTCATTCAGACGCGGTCACAAAAGTCATGGAGGAATACAGAGCGAATGCCGTACGATATCATCCCCCTACCATCGCAACTGAAAAATGAGAACTGCCTCGACAAAACCGAGTTGTTTTGGGACAATTGAGATCCGGATGGTGCAGCCGGCTCAATTTGTAGTGGGCATGGCCAGAACCCCTACCCAGCATTTGGCACAGACCCACATAAGACACGGCACCTCTTTAACTGTCCAGCAAAAACATGTTCACCTAACTCCTGTATCTTTATGGATGCAACATATACAGGTCGCTACCTTCCTGAATTTGGAGTTAGTCCATAATACTACTAAAGACGAATTTGAACGGATAAATTAGTCTGAGCTCCTTTCCTCCTTTGATTCTTTTCGTTTGTTCTCGCTTTTATTCTTTCTAATATGAACAAAATTAGTCAGAGGTATCCCAATGGAACAGCTTATTTCCAATTTTATATTTATTTCATGTAAAGAGAAAAATTTTCAATGAACTGAAGAAATGTCCTTAATTTAAAAACCTTTATTTTATTATTTATACCCTACACCACAAGGTGGTTAGGGTATTATTTTATCTTGAAAACTTTTTTTGAAATATTTTCATTCATTTAGAGCTATATTCATAGAAGATCGATCGAAAGATCTTCGTCGGATTGAATGATCTTCTATCAAGAAAAAAAACGTTTGAAAGGTAGTTTATTGTGTGAGAATACTCTTTGAAATGTCTAATTCGTTGGAAAGACATTTTATCCATAGAAGGACAAATGAGCAGTTCTTGGCTTAAATTTTAAAAATCTTTCTGCTATATTTTCAATTTATAAAGAAATAAATAAATATATTTTCAATTTATAAAGAAAATATGTTTCATCTACAAAACAATATATTTCATTTCCAAACATTTCCTAATCTTTTTCATTTTACCAAACTAAATTTACATTTTTATTGTATTTTTTATTTTCCAATTACAGGTCCATTTACTAAAACAGTGACAACCAACTTAAATCTAACTAATCCATCGGATAATGACATTCTATTTAAAATTAAAACGACCGCTCCAAAACGTTATTGTGTGCGTCCAAATTTTGGTATTATTCGAGCACGTGAATCAGCTTCGGTTGAAAGTGAGTAATTACAATTAAAGAATAGTAGAATATAATAGGTCAAATCAATTTAAATTGATTCTTCTTTCTCTTATTTACAGTTTGCTTACAGCCCTTCAATTTCGATCCATCTGAAAAGAATAAACACAAGTTCATGGTCCAAAGTGTTCTAGTGCCAGAAAATGAAGACGGGGAATATTCTACCCTTTTCAATATTGTAAATATTTATTATATGCCTTGAGAGGGTGCTTTATATATAACTATATATTAATTTGTTGTTTTTGTTTTCTTATTACAGTGGAAGGAGTTGCCACCAGAAAATTTCATGGATGCCAAATTAAAGTGCGTCTTTGAAATGCCCGTAGAAGATAATCGTGGTGATGCATCAGCTGCTGTTAGTGTTGTCAAAACTGAGCAATCGTCCTCACCTCCTCAAGTTAAAAATGAAGAAAAGGTAAATGTACATTTTACTATTACTATTGGTGGTTGCCATTATCTGAATCGGAACCGTTCGAAGTTGTGATACCATAGGCTAATGAATATATAGAGAAAGGAATGTTGGTTTTGCCATTTCCTCTTATTGCATAGTCAATATGCCGATAGAGCCAGTCGATCTACTACTCGACTATGAAACACATTGTATCGTTTTTTAAGAATTGCACTGGATTATTGGAATAGTTTGGAATAGTTTTCAACTGAAAATGTCCTACAGTTCTTGATATTTTTATGCCCTCCATCTTGAAAAGGGGAGGGTATATTAACTTTGTCATTCCGTTTCTAACATCCCTAAATATTCGTCGTAGACCCCGTCCGTTTGTCTGTTGAAATCACGATACAACCCACATTATTTGACGTACAGCTTAAAAATTTGGCAGAACATAATGGATTCTAACTCTAGTGGCGAAACTTTTTATGTATAGGTCTACGTTTTGATATAGCCGCCATATAAAGGTACCTCCCGATATTCGGTATTTTGATGATTTTTTTAACAATTTTTCCACGGCGGAACATATTATGTATAGGTCCACGCTTTCGTATAGCCCCCATATAATGGTATCACCGGATATTCACTATTTTGATTATTATTGGATACATTTTCCCACGGATTTGTCTAAATATTGGTATTTGTAGTTAATAATGGATTCTAGTTCCGTCGACAGAACATTGAAAATTTAGGTCCAAGTCACCGATAACTCGGTATTTTGATAATCCTAGTCACATTTACCCTCGAAATTGTTTCAAAATTTGGTATTTAAGAATATTTGGAGGTTCCCGTTTTGGTATGACCCCCATACTACGGCCTCACTCACTTTATGGTTTTTTGAAAAGTTTAACAGCATTATCCAAACGGTCTTATTGGTATTTGTGGACGGTCTTATTGGAAAGTGGAGAACGTTGAATTCAGATACTTTTATATAAAAAAATCTTTATCCAAAGTAGGAGGTTTTTAAATTTGATACGGTCAAAACGTGCCTCATCGAAATAACAGTTTTAGACCCTAGGTTTATTTAGATCAAATCCGTTTCAGGACGTTTGAAGTCGATCTAGCGATGTCCGTCCGTCCGTCCGTCACGATAACTCTCGAAGGAGTACATCAAAATGTTATTGTCAAACTTAATCGAGTTCGGAGATGGACAATATCGGTCCACTCCTTCTGGTACCTCCTCCCACAAAATGTCAACATTTTCAAAAAATAATTTACGGCACAGAAAGGGAACGCATAATCCGGTTTTTCTTAAACTTTGCAAATCCTAATATTTGTGTCAGTGCTAGGTCAGGTGGGAAAATGGACAATATGGAGTGGACCGTCATCAAGTATCTCAACCACAAAGGGTCAGCATTTTGTATAATTTTGACACTTATAAAATGGGATGTAAGAATCCGGTTGTCTTAAAAATACACACATCACAATATTTTCATTAACCCAAGGTCTGGCGTGAAGATGGAATATATCGGTCCACTCCTTCTGGTATCTTCCCCACAAAGGGTCAAAATTTTGAATATTCATGAAGCTCAAAAGGCACGAAATAACCATCCGATTCCATTCAGACTTGGTACATCTCAATATTTCCAACAACACAAGATCTGTTATAAAGATGGTAGAGATCGGACCTTTCTTTCGGGTCCTCCCCCACAAAGGGTCAAAGTTTTAAATAACCAAAAAGATCATAAAATCCGAAATAAGCACCCGGTGCTCTTGAAATTGCAAACATCACAATATTTTTTTAACCCAAGGTCTGGTGTGAAGATGGAATATATCGGTCCACTCCTCCCCCACTCCTCCCCCCACAAAGGGTCAACATTTTGAGTTTCCATGAAGCTCATAAAACGCGAAATTAACATCCGACTCCATTCAGGCTTGGTACATCTCAATATTTCCATCAACACAAGAAAGATGGTAGAGGTCGGACCTTTTTTTCTGGTACACCCCCCTAATAGAGTTCAATATTTTTTTAAAACAAAACGCTCAAAGTAAGCGAAATAGACATCCAACTCTCTTTTTTATCACTTGGTTTTAGGATTGCACGAAATTTTCCATGATTTCCAGAAGTTTGATTTAATTTTGAGGAAATTGTAGCTCTGTTCCATTTCATTTAAGCTTCTTTTCATCTTGAAACTTAAACATTTCTTTAACATATATATTTTAAGATTTTTACTAAACAGTATTTGCGTATTTTACATTATAGCAAACTTCAAATCTGGATACTTCTAAACAGTCAGAATCTCTGGCGAATGAACTTAGACAGTTGCGTGAGGAGAACACCAAATTGAGAAAAGAGAATGTTAATCTGAAGGTAAGATATGATAACATTTTAATAGAAATAATAACTAAACAAATTCTCAATTGTTTTTTTTTTTTAGGAACAAGCTATGCGAGTTCGATCCACAGCATCCAAGCCCACGGTCGGTGAACCCTATGCTCCTGTCATAGCTGAAAAGCAAATTCCCATGTTCTATATAGCGCTCGCTTTTGCCGCTGCAATTCTTGGTATTCTTTTCGGCAAATTTGTATTCTGAACAACTAATTAGAGTCTTAACAACAACAAACAAACAAACAACAACAACAGTGTTATGTTTTTCTTTTTGTCTTTTGCTAGCAGTACAGAAACAAAAAAACCAACAAAAAGCTGCATATTATATAATACACGAAAACTATAATAACTAAAAAAGAAAAAAAAACAAAAAAGTAAACTAAAAGTAAAACAAAAAATTACAAGAAATATAAGGAAGAAAAACAAAAACAATCTGCAAACAAATGTGAATTCAAATTCGTTTAGATGGAGAATAAGAGATAACACAAGAAAAAAGAAAGGCGGCAAACATTGAATAGAATAAGAAACTAAAATGAAAGTATAAATCATACAACTCTTAGCAGCAATCAGGACATTGCTTGTAAAAAAGAAAAGTAAATCTCATATAGTTTTCAAAAATCTAAATCGAAGTTGTTCAGTGCGTTTTTTGGATCCATACCATTTAGAAAATTTCATTCTATTGCTGCTGCCCCTTTGCATTGATTAATTTTGTTTTGTTTTGATATGTTTATCCTTTTTAGAAGCTCTCTCTCTCTACCTCCAAAAATCTTAATATCATCTTATATATACATACATAATTTCCAATTGATCATGAATTCTTCATTCATTTTCCGTTTCCAAGCATTTACTCTCTAGTTATTCCGTTACACAATAAAACTTGAGCTTAAAAACAAATATGAACTAATAAAAAAAAACTACCAATGAATCACTACAAACAAATGTTAAATGTTATCATAGAAATCAAATTCAATAGAAAGCTAGCCACCAGACCGAAAGTTAATTCAATTTTATATAGTTTTAATTATGTTGGCCAATATTCTCCCTGGTACAGTTTGTGAACCTCCGCTATCCTGATTCGCATTTGGTTGGTAGTAACATAATGGAGCTTTGAACAGAGAAAACCTTTTTAGTTTTCGAGTAAGCTTTACAATATAAACATTTTTCAAAGTGAGGTTATGACAAATGATTTCATCTTGATTTTATATCAAAAATTAATAATCTTTCCTTCCTATTCCCGGCAAATTAAAGGCTCGTTTTTCAAAAGTTCAATGCATCTGTATGAAAGTGAGGTTAGAATCGAAACATTTTGTTGCGAATAAACTATGTTCTCTGTATAGCACTACTATACAAAGAACTTAGTTTGTCTCTTCTATTTGCAAATATCTCTTGAAATTTTCAAATTTAGAAAAAGACATATTTTACAATAAAATTTAAAGATGTGGTCAGAACATGGTTGACATTTTAGAAACTATTCCAAATGCCGGCATCACTTTCATCTCAGATGTAAAAAAGTGTGGCAGAAAAAATAGTTTTCCTTGAAATAAAATTGTGAGTTTCCCTAGTTTATGGCTCCATTCTAATCATTCATTGCACATAGTTCATGAGGTACAGAACGGGTATTTACGTCTTTTCGGAATGTTATTTTTTTACTTCCCCTTTCAAATTCTATTATTGTTTAGTTCTAAGCTTTATTAATGCTCTTGTTTTTAAAATACGCATCTATGTTAGGGTGTTTTTTTAATTTAATTTTTTTTGTCTCTTTGGTATAAAGCTATATGTTATTCTCCTTATGTTTCTACTTTCCCTTCATTTTGTGTTTAAATCCTTATTGCATTTCATTCATATAAATATAAATAATTTATTAAATTTTTTTAATGTAATTTATGCTGCTGGACATTTAAAACGAAAACATAAACATAGATTTTTATTAATAAAGGAAAAATGTTTTGTTTTGGCTTTTAAAAATTTCTCATTTAGATTTTAATTTCAAACAGATAATCTACCGTACCATTACATAAAACAATAAAAATTAATAAAAGTTTAAAAATGAAATAATAAACAAAAAACAACTGTGTGTAATTAAAAATAATTTCCATTTCAACTTGCAGACAGACAACAAAGAGCAAAAAGACAAAAAAACCAACAACACCTGCATACAAAAACAACTAAAAAAGCAAAAGAAAACACAATAAAAAATAAAGAAAAATAATTGCAAAAAGAAACGATCGAACGAAGCGTCTTTTTTGTTTTGTTAATTCATACTTAAACTAAAAATATAAAGCTAAGAAAGAAAAAAAAGAGATTAAAAAAAAAAACAAACAAAACCACTAAAAAATAAACAAATAACTATGATAAACGACAAAGAACTACTCGAAACATTTTTTTTTGGTTTTTTATGTAGATTAACTGCCTTTGTCTTATGTTTTTTTATGTTTTCCATGTCTTTCTCTGATTGTTTCACTGCTCGGAAGCAAAAACGAAAGGAAAAGTTAAAAATTCATTTGAAAGCAACCACAACAACATGAAGAGAAATTGTATTAGTACTAATTATAATACTATGAGAAATGATGAAGAAATATTTAAGATTTTCTTGTAATTATGTACGAAAAATATTTAAATGAAATATGATAATACAAATAAAAACAATTTAAAACGTCATTTCCACATTTGTTGCGAGTTGCTATCTCCTTTTTTACAGTAACAGGGAGTCATCTCACTATACTTGGCCTGAGAGAAGAGGATGCAGAGAAATGAATATATTCCTTGGCAACATGTAATGCTCTCACCGCTTATCATTGAAAAAATTTAAGTTAGCGGATGCCTATTTTGTCGTTTCATGAGTATAGTCGAAATACTGAAGCCACTAACTAATAAAATGTAGGAATACATTACATGATGACAATGCCATAAATCCAGTTCAAATCTGTTAAAAGTGTTTTTGAAATCGGGTACAACCGGCATTTTGACAATGCAAAAGCGAGCTGAGAGCCATCTGGAGAAAAAAAACAACATTCTGTGGTCTATATATTCATTAACCCATAATATTTAGGCGGCAAATATTATTGTGAGTGGTTAAATCACAATGTGGGGGAATCATTTTACTTTGCATATCAATTACAAATAAAGAGGTAAGAAGTTGTTGAACAACAGAAATTTAAGAGAATTCTATAGCAAAAATTAAAAAAAGCTAATTGATTTTTAAGCTTTTGTGTAAAGAAGAAAAGAGGACGTTGAGAGTTCCTCACTAAAATTAGTATTTCGGCGGCAATGTTATTGTGAATGATTGAATCACAACATCAGGGAATCATGTCACTTTGCATATCAAAGAGAAAGAAGAAAAAGAAGGAAGGAAATTGAAGCATCGCCCACAGCAAAAATTAAACAATAAAGGAAGCTGAATTTTTAGGCTGTTATTGAAACTAAAAAATATTTTAACAAGTATTCAAAAAATGCTTAACAATAGAGCATCATGTATAAGACATTCGTTCAGAAGTCTCCTCACTAATATCAATATTTCGGCGGCAAGTAATATTGTGAACGGTTAAATCACAAAGTGAGGGAATCATTTCACCTTGCATATCAATGAGAATAAAAGGAAGAGAAGAAGGTGTCTTAAACGGAAAAAATCGTTGGAGCATCAGTAAAAATTAAAGTGGAGGAAGTTGATTTGGTTTGTTGATACGTATCCAACAATTTTTTAGCCATATTAACGGAAAACTAATTGAAAATGTGTTGCTTTTGCTTGAATACCGGTGAACGTTTGGGAATTATTGACTAAAGGTGTTTAACATGAAGAAATATATGATTGCTGCTGCATGTTGTTTTGATTTTGCACTTTATGTGGGAATCGTTTCAAAGAAGTGTGCTGGAATCACGTTCAAAATTGGAAATGCTGTAGTGAAGATGAAGGTATGTGAATATTATTTTAATAGAATCAGATATGTATAAGAAGCCTGTAATAGATATTTAATTCCTTCAAGCGTTCGTGGGAGACTATATGCTATTTGAGTATCTTTCGTCTCCATAAATGTACATCGATGTCCGTCCGTAAAAATCAATATGAAGATCTCATTGATTTACTTACAAGTCCACCATAGTATGGAGGGTAGATTAAGTTTGTCATTCCGTTTGTAACACCTCGAAATATACATTTTATACCCCACAAAGTATATATATTCTTGATCAGCATATCATTCTATGTCGATTTAGCGATGTCCGTCCGTCTGTCCTTCTGTGGAAAACTCTCTAGCTTCCGAACGAAATGAAGTAGATTGATAAAATTTTACTCGAATGTCTGAAGGACTTTTGGCATTGAGAACGGTACGGTATTTTGATGATTTTATTTGTTAACATTAGGTCCGGAATTGTTTCAAATTTGGAATTTGAAGTCCGTAATGGATAGTACATCTTAAGACAGTAAATTGTCTGTGCAGGTTCACGTCTTCATATAGCCCCCACCATAGTATGGAGGGTAGATTAAGTTTGTCATTCCGTTTGTAACACCTCGAAATATACATTTTATACCCCACAAAGTATATATATTCTTGATCTGCAGTCCGTCCGTCTGTCCTTCTGTGGAAAACTGTCTAGCTTCCGAACGAAATGAAGTAGATTGATAAAATTTTACTCGAATGTCTGCAGGACTTATGGCATTGAGAATTCGTCATTTTGATGATTTTAGTGACAATATTTACCGGAATTGTTTCAAATTTGGAATTTGAAGTTCGTAATGGATAGTACATCTTAAGACAGTAAATTGTCTGTGCGGGTTCACGCCTTCATATAGCCCCCATATAACGGTACATCCCGACATTCGATATTTTCATGATTTTAGCGACATTATTCACTGTTTTTTATTTTCAAGTTTCGCATTTGAATATTCTATTGGCTTATGACAAAATTTGTATAACGGCTACCTTAATATAACGTCTACATTCGGTATTTTGAAGATTTTAACAGAATTTTTAATGGATTTTATTGTTTTTGAGAATTGCCAAATTCGTTCCAAAGGGTGAAGGGTATTCAAAGTTCGGCCCGGCTCTTTTACTTGTTAACATTAGGTCTGTATGAATACTTTTCCTTCAGGAATTTTGAAGCAACTTTTTCCCGAGAGAGTAAGGTAGTTTTATTCTCCTTTGAGCTGATTTGAAAGAAGAAAGCAATTTGTTCGTCTAAAGAGGAGTTGCATGAAAGAAGAATTTTCGATGTTTCAACTTTGTCTTCCATAAAAGATAATAAAAAAGGCTTTCTAATTCCAATATGAAAATGTTTTCAAATTGCTTGCACAAAAACAAATCTCCGGACACTCAAAATAAGAGAAGAAGAATTGTAATTTACCATGGGCACACATATTATTCCCCGGCATGAAGTACCAACGGATATAGACTACAGACTGAGCCCAATGGTATAATTATCTCTTTCCAATTTCACACTACGGCAATGGATACTGAAATAATTGATTAAGTTTTAGAGCATATTTTAATTATTTTATTGCATATTTTATTGTTTCATTTGTTTTCCTTAGATTTTCAATTTTTTTTCAAATAATATTACGCATTCAATGCACTCCATTGCTGGTTATCAAATGTGGTTGTTGTAATTGTTGTTGCTGCTGCTGTGGTTGTTGTCCTGCAGGACTCGATGACGCTGCTACTGTTGTTGCATTACTCATGACCACATTTTGATGTTTATTTGAGAAATCTATACATGATCCTGAGGTCAAATCAATTTCTTCGGAATCCGAACCATCCGATCCATCATCCGAATTGTGATCGAGTGCAGCTATTAGCCGGGGATCATGTTGCATGTGGGCATGCAGCGCCTGTGTTAAATGTTGATTTTGCAGATGATGATCTTTGTAGAGTTTAAGTTCGGTATAGGTTTTTTCATTTCCCCCACTAGCATTTGATTTATTGGCCAGCCCACTTTCAGCCGGATGCATCATTGTCATATTGTTGTGTTGCGATGTGGGTGGTGGTGAGCCATTACCCATTGTCCCGTTGGGAGTTTCTTTGGACATTGCCGAATTCGAGAGGTTTTCGGGGGCAGCATCTAATCCCGGTGGCATGGGGCCATTTAGCGATGCCCCGTTGGGTATTGGTGTGCCTAGAATAAAATAAGAAGGGTTTCATTGTCTGAAATAATTAATGAAGTTGTATACTTACCACTTTGTCCCATAACAGGTGGTTGTCCCAAGCTTAAACATCTCATTCGCCAGGCATCTTGGAGTAGCTGAAGACGCGCCTGCTTACGCCACTTGGCTCGACGATTTTGAAACCATACCTGCGAGTAAAATAATAAGTATTCGAGGTATTAGATGAAATAAATGTATCTTATAAAACCAAAAAATAATCTCAACAAATATATTAACAAATGCAGTTTACTTTATTCCTTAACGGGGAAAAAGTTTCCACACCGTCGGCGTTGGCGTTTTGGAAGAAAAATAACTTGTTTATATCTATTTTCCAAAATTACCGGAAACAGCAGAAAAGGGAGAATGGAGAGCTAATACATTAGACTCGTGTATCGCCATTTTAAAAGTTTATATCTCGATAAAATAAGGTGAAAAAATTCGCCCAATTTGATATTTTAAAAAATGCATACAAAGTGTATTTTCTGCAATATTTCATTGCAAACATCGGGGGAATATTTTTATACCCTTCACCATCGTATGGAGGGTATATTAAGTTTATCATTCCGTTTGTAACACCCCGAAATATACATTTTTGACCCCAGAAAGTATATATATTCTTGATCAGCATAAAATTCTATGTCGATTTAGCGATGTCCTTCCGTGTGTCCGTCTGTGGAAATCACTCTGGTTTCCGAACGAAATGAAGTAGGTTGATAAAATTTTACTCATATGTATATTATGTCTGTAGGACTTTTGGTATTGAAAATGGGCCATGTAGGTCCACGTCTTCGTATAGCCCCCATATAACGGTACCTCCCGATATGCGGTATTTTGACGATTTTAGCGACATTATTTACCAGAATTGTTTCAAAATTGGTATTTAAAGTTCTTAATGGATACTTCATCCTAAGACAGAAAATTGTTTGTACAGGCCCACGTCTTCGTATAGCCCCCATATAACCGTACCCCCGATATTCGGTATTTTGATGATTTTAGCGACTTTATTTACCGGAATTGTTTCAAATTTAATGTTTGAAGTTTTTAATGGATACTTAATCCTAGGACAGAAAATGAACCATGTAGGTCTACGTCTTCGTATAACCCCATATAATGGTACCTCTCTATTTTTTCACCGGAATTGTTTCAAATCTGGTATTTGAAGTATGTAATGGATACTACAGTCTATGACAGAAAATTGTCTGTGCAGGTTAACGTCTTCGTATAGCCCCCATATAACGGTACCTCCCGATATTCGGCATTTTGATAATTTTAGTGATATTGTTCACTGATTTTTTTAAAATTTTTGCATTTGAATATTCTATTGCAGGTCCACGTCGTCGTATAGACTCTAATATAATGGCTACATTCGGTATTTTTAAGATTTCCACAGATCTTTTTATTTTATTTATTTTTTTTTTGAAAATTGCCAATTTCGTTCCAAATGCTGGAGCTTTTTTAGTTGTTTGTTTTTTAGAAATTCATCTAAAAATTTGAGAACAAGATAACCACACTGTTATTTTATATCATTATTGTTAACAGGATTTTCACGTTTTTGCTCAGTATTGCTACTTTCTTTCTGTGAGGCATATATTTTGCCAGTTAATTAATTTTTTTTTTGAATCGTAATATAAGTCTTTATTTTTTTCTGAATCATGATTATGTGAAGCATGTCTTCGATTTATTTCAATATTTGTTAATTTCATACGTTTGTCTTTTATACGGCTTCCTGATATTTCTTGGAGGTTTTTAAAGAACTTTTCGGCATTGTCACGATTCATTCATTATTTTTAGAAATTTTTTTCAACGCCTATCTGGCCTGATCCTTTCGTCGTTTTCCTTTGTAATTTGTCATTAAAATGGCTGCCATTCCAACAAGCTGTTTATGCATTATCACCTTGAGACAATATTCTGTTTCCGGAGACATTACGAACTCCAAATACTGCATTTTCAACAGAGCCTATAGAATATGCGGCGTAAATTGTCACAATATCGAACATTGGAAGAAATCAATACATGTATTAATCTTCATATGATTGGTGTGGAATATAGGTTATATCGATCAATGTTTGGAGATGGGAAATGTATAACGTGTTTGATGCATCAAATACATTAAATCGGCAGAAGAATTTATATGGAAACAGTATCCAAATCCGGACCGATTTCAATATAATTTGGCAAATTTATTTTCTGATCAAATCCCGTCACTCATTCCGAATTTCATTGGAATCGGAGGTACATATCGTGTATTGTGCATCACGAGAACTATATCCAAATCTAAACCGATTCCAATATAATTTGGCAAATTTACTTTTGTACCGATTTCTGTTACACATTCTAAATCTGTAGATACGGGCATTCAAAAACTAATTTTTTTGGAGGTACCTCCGATTCTGATGCTATATCTCTAGTTCCATGTGAAATTTTAAAAATGTATATAGCCTATGTTACTTTTTTTAGCGACATTATTAACCAGAATTGTTTCAAATTTGGTATTTGAAGTTAGAAATGGATACTACAGCCTAAGACAGAAAATTGCCTGTGCAGGTCCACATAACGGTACCTCCCGATATTCGGTATTTTGATGATTTTAACGACATTATTAACCGGAATTGTTTAAAATTTGGTATTTGAAGTTTGCAATAGATACTACAGCCTAAGGCAGAAAATTGTCTGTGCAGGTCCACGTCTTCGTATAGCCCCCATATAACGGTACCTCCCGATATTTAGCGACATTTATTCACCGGAATTGTTTCAAATATTGTATTAAAAGTTTGTACTGGTACTAAAGGCTAGGACAGAAAATTGTCTGTGCAGGTCCACGTCTTCGTGTAGCCCCCATATCACGATACTTCCCGATATTTGGTATTTTGATGATTTTAGCTACATTATTTATCGGAATGGCTTCAAATTTTGTATTTGTAGTTCGTTATGAATACTACAGCCTATGACAGATAATTGTGTGTGCGGCGTAAATTGTCATCGAATATCGAACATTGGAAGAAATCATTACATGTATTAATCTTCATATGATTGGTGTGAAATATAGGTTATATCGATCCATGTTTGGAGATTGGAAATGCATAGGGTGCATCAAATACATGAAATCGGCAGAAGAATTTATATAGGAACTGTATCCAAATCCGGAACGATTTCGATATAATTTGGCAAATATATTTTCTGGAATCGGACGTACATATCGCTTTTGTGCATCACGAGAACTATATCCAAATCTGAACCGATTCCAATATAATTTGGAAAATTCACTTTTGTACCGATTTCTGTTACACATTCAAAATCTGTAGATATGGGCATTCAAAAACTAATTTTTTTGGAGGTACCTCCGATTCTGATGATATATCTCCAGTTCCAAGTGAAATTTTAAAAATGTATGTAGCCTATGTTCCTTTCAGGCAATGCTGTAGTATATATAGAACTTTTCAGGAAAATATCTTCAGCAGTTTTTGAGTCTATAAATTACAAACAAACAAACGTAATACAAAATAAGTCTCCGAATCTCTTAAAACTTCACACATCTCAATACAATTTGTAACACAAGGTTTGGTGTGTAGATAATAGATATAGGCCTACCGCTTCTGGTACCTCCCGTACAAAGAATCAAAAATTGTAAATACTCATATATCTCATAACTTGCGATACAAGTCAGCGATTCTATTCAAACTTGATGTATCTAAATATTTCTCTCATTCTGAGATCCACACACAAGGTAAAAACTTTGACTAAATTAGATTTACAGATTTTCTTTAAATTTTCAACATCCCAATGTCTTTGTCAGTGTTAGAAGAAATGGAATACTTTGACAGATAATATGGAAATATTTAATCCCTTTGTCTAAAGGATTTGGGCTACCTGGGCAATATTTCTGTCTGATGCAAACAATATGATGCCTGAAGTCACATAACAAAAAAATTTTGGGATCACTTAAAAATATCAGTTATGTTAAAATCCATTTTTTATACACTCCATCATTGTTGTAACACCTCGAAATATACATTTTAGACCTCACAAAGTACATATATTGTTGATCAGCAAAAATTCTATGTCGATTTACCATATAACGGTACCTCCCGATATTCGGCATTTTGATGAATTTATCGACATTATTCAACGGAATTGTTTCAAGTTTGGTATTAGAAGTTTGTACTGGATACTAATGCCTAAGACAGAAAATTGTCTTTGCAGGTCCACCCATATAACGGTACCTCCCGATATTTGGTATTTTGATGATTTTAGCGACATAATTCACCGGAATTGCTTCAAATTTGGTATTTGATGTCCGTAATGGATACTACAGCCTATGACAGAAAATTGTGTGTGCAGATCCACGTCTTCGTATAGTCCCCATATAACGGTGCCTCCCGATATTTGGTATTTGAAGTTCGTAATGGATACTATAGCATATGACAGAAATTTGTGTGAGCAGGTCCACGTTTTGGTATAGCCCCCATAACATAGTACTTCCTTACATTCGGTATTTTGATGATGCAGGTCCAACGGCTAAATTCGGGATTTTTATACCCTACAATACTATGTGTTGGGGGTATTTTAAGTTAGATTGGGCCAAAAATTATGTAACACCTCGAAATATTGGTTTCCCACATAGGGAAGTATATATAGATCTTCCTGTTTCGCCGAGCTGAGACTATCTAGCTATGTATGTCCGTCTGTCCATGTTAATTTGTAATCACTCTACAGGTCGCAATTATGGCCCGATCTTCACGAAACTTAGAATGAAGGTGGGGATAGGGCCTGAATAGAACCCTATTGCTTTTGGAGATGATCGCATAAAATCTAGAGGTTGAAATGGACCAAAAAACATTTCCTGTTTTTGTAGCTGCTCTACAGGTCGCAATTACAGATCAATCGAAGCGGAAGTAAGCATGGTTCTAGAGCTTAGGGCTGGGCAGAAGCCTTCCAATTTTGATGGTCATCGGGTAATATTTAGTGGGAGAAAAAGGCCATGACATTTGTGTTAAATAAAATCAAATTTTCCATTAAACCGGGATTATTTTTAATCCCGGCGAAATCACAAATAGACGAACAGGTTAATCATGACTGTTACGTAGATGCCGATAATAAATATATCAGATATATAGCGAAATTTATACAATGTGTAAATATAAAAGAAGGGCATGTTAGCTAGAATGCTTATATCTCAAGAATGGCTTGACCGATTTTGACAAATATTCAAGTGTACATTTTGTAATATTTTTTCACATTACAACACAGGTTGGGGTTATTATATACAGATTGCAATTATCGTCCGATCCTCACGAAAATTTTCACAAGGGGAGAGCTAGGCCTATTGCTTTCAAAGATGTCCGCAATATATTTAGTTGAAATGGAGCAACAACTAAAAATGTTCCTGATTTTGCAGCCGTTATAAAGGTCACAAATAGAAACCAAAGGATAAGAAATATCGTACGAAGTTAGAGTTTAGGACAGCGACTAGAATGGACCACTACTTTTGTGTGAAAAAATAAAAACATTACTTGCAGGCGATATCCCAAATACACAAAAGGCGAACCTCTGGCTTTTTATGTTGATTTCGTTGACGAATATAGCCAAATATCGTAGACAAGCAAATCATATAGATTAGTCTCAATTTGGAGATACAAAGGGGTCCCTTGCTTTTGGAGATGATCGCAAAATATTTAGGGGTTCAAATGAACCAAATACAGAAAAAATTTCCTGATCACACTGTTGCAGCCAATCGACACGCTTGAGAAGAGGGTTAAGGGCAGCGAAGAAGTCTAGCATGTTTTTGGACCATTGGATTATAATTAGCTGTAAAATGGACCACAACCACTAATAACACGACGGAGTGCGTAAATATTGGTCATTTGCATGGTCAAAATGCTACATAAGGGGGCTTCTAACATATTGTAGTGTTGTAGGGTATCACATGGTCGGCCCCTCACGACAATAGCCTTTACATTCTTGTTAAGCTTTTAACAAGTAGGTTGATAAAATTCTACTCAAATGTATATTATGTCTGCAGGACTTTTGGTATTGAAAATGGGCCATGTAGGTCCACGTCTTCGTATAGCCCCCATATAACGGTACCTCCCGATATTCGGTATTATGATGATTTTAGCGACATTATTTACCGGAATTGTTTCAAATTTAATATTTGAAGTTCGTAATGAATACTACTGCCTATGACAGAAAATTGTCTGTGCTGGTCCACGTCTTCGTATAGCCCCCATATAACGGTACCCCCGATATTCGGTATTTTGATGATTTTAGAGACATTATTTACCGGAATTGTTTCACATTTTGTATTTGAAGTTCGTAATGGATACTACAGCCTATGCCAGAAAATTGTATGTGCAGGTCCACGTTTTATAGCCACCATGGTACCTCCCTATATTCGGTATTTTGATGATTTTAGCTACATTATGAACAGTTTTTTTCTTTCAAGAATATTGTAATAGCTTGTGAAAAAAGTCTATGCAGGTCCACGTCGCCGTATAGACCATAATATACGCCAACTTCGGTATTTTAAGATTTTAATAGAATTTTTAACGGATTTTATTTTTTTGAAAATTGCCAAATTCGTTCCAAATGGTGGAGGGTATTCAAAGTTCGGCCTGGCCGAACTTACATCGCTTTTACTTGTTTTAAATTTCATTTGAGATCCGTGATTTGATTTTGACACTTTAAAGGAAAAACTATATGTATCCAATTTCAGTTCAATATAACGGCTGTGAACCATTTTGAGGTGTAAATTAGGATTTAACATATCAATGTCCTTTCTTAGAAAAAAAAGACTGCATTGATCTGATTAACACGATTATGCTGTACGGATCTTTATTTCATTTATGCTGTACGGACATACAATTTAGTTTTCGAAGTACACACTGTTTCGGGTTAATATAATGGATTTTTCTCGGGATCCTATTTTTATTTTCGAAGATGAAACAATGGCTGTAGCTGTGGATCGATGGTCTGACTTCACTTGAAAACAAAATAGACATTGTCGATTGTTTCATTTTTTTATTTTAATTGTATATTTCAAAAACACAGAAGAAAGACAATCACCTGAACACGAGCTTCACTTAAACTAATACGCAAAGCGACTTCTTCGCGTAAAAATACATCCGGATAGTGGGTCTTTTGAAATAGCGCTTCCAATTCTTGTAACTGTTGCGGGGTAAAAGTTGTGCGATTACGCCGTTGTCGTCGCCGACCGAACATATATTCCGTTAAAAGATCACCGGGTAAAGGTGATAGAAATGGTCCAGCCATGGTAAGTGACTAAAAAAAATTCTTAGTTTTTTTATTAACTATTCTCAGTTAGACGTTTCTTCCCGTGTTTGTGTTGGCGCTTCAACCGTTCCTTTTACGACATCTAACACTTGACACGCTCGCCACGTAACTGTTCTTAGGCCTTAATATGGTTTGCCTTTTTATTATTTTGCTAATATTATGACGACGACGACGATGTCGTTTTGTTCCAGTCGTGTTTGTATTTGCATATGCCAGAGCCAACAACAACAAGAACCTCATCATCATCATCATCATCGTTGTTGTTGTCGTCGTCGTCCTTTCGGGTTTTCTGTTATTGTTCGGCTATTGTCCTTGCTCTGATGGGCTTTTGGCTTCGTGTATGTGATTATTAGTAGCAGTAGTGGTATCATCATGAGCTTTAGTCAGCAACAGCGGCAGCAGCGCAGCAACCGCATTCCGAAATGCACACGAACAATGAACGATTACAAAGCAATTCAGGCCTTTAGAATTTGCGCGCCATATGCAAATTTATTCTGTTATCCTCTTGTCTGAGGTGGCTGGCTGGGTAGCTGCTTTCCTGCCTGGTTGACTGGCCGGGTGGGTGGCCGGTTGGTTGGATGGATGGAAGGTTTAACTAGGTAGATGCATGGCTGAGCATGATGTTGTGTGTTCTCTGTTTTCATTTGCCTTCCACGTTGCTTGACAGTATTTTTGTTTTGCTCATTTTATTTTGCAACCAATTAAAATTTGCGCCCCGCATCCTTCTTTGCTTACTTCTCTCCCGTTCTCTCATATTTTTCTCTGCAGCAGTGACATGAGGCTCTCTTTTAAGTATGAATGAATGATATTAAATTTTTTTCCATTGTAGAGTACAAGGAAGAATTGTCAAGGAATACCGGGTGCTTTCTACAGAAGACCAGTCGGATTTCCGATATGAAACAGAATTAAAAGTTTTATTGTGGAAGACACCCATATACATATAGAAGACCTTGCAGGGGTTTCAGTCTATGAAAGGAGCTGTTGACGCGAAATAAAAGAAGATATTCCATTAAAAAATAACATACAGTCGACTCCTATCTGTACGAGACTTGAAGACCTATAGTGGAATTTTATTACAAATTATTTTCTTTCAGTATCGAAGTGTTAAGATCCAGTTTAAGTGAGTTTTTCTTACCATATTTTGAAATAAATGGACCAAAAAGACCTCTTTGATGACTCGCTTGAGGGTTACAATTTTTGACCAAAGTAATTCTCGTATTGTTATCAGACACTATATAACAAAATTCGAAGATTCCAAGGAATCTTAGTTCGAGTTATATATAAAAGGACCTGCAAATAGGAGATACAACTATGTTCCCACAGAAGACGAAAAGACCTTCCATAGAATACGTACCAAGGGTTTTCCATGGTCTTAGACCAAGTGGTTATTTTTTAAATACCAGGTAGTCTTCTCCTAGAACATCAGGCGGTCGTCCTATAAAATAACCGGTAGTCTTCCTCTGGAAGACTTGATGATTTTTCTTTGGTTGTTCTTTAGAATACCAGGTGGTCTTTCTATAGAAGATCAGATGATTTTTCTCCTATAGAATACTAAATTACTTGCTATAGAATACAAATATGGCTTACTTTCTCATAAGGTCTTCCAATAGAAAATTATTTGCCATTCTATACAAGACCAACGATCGCCCTTCAGAACACTATTTTTTCTTTCTAAAAAGGCCATTTGGACACCATACAGAAAACTTTTTATAGAAGACGTTTCTATGAACTATGCTTTGTAGGACACCGGAAAGGTTTGTGATAAAAGGTCCAAAGGTTTTCTTGTAGAGATCCGACAAAGACTGGAAAGAAAAGACATAAAGGTCTTCCATAGAAGCTCCACAATTTTCCTTGCTGCAGAAGACCAGATAGGTTTTTTTTACAGGCAACTCGAAATATATAAATATAGAAGTCCCAAAGATTTCTTATTTTTCTTTTAAAAGGCCCGATTATCTTTTTGTACAAGCTCCAAAGGATTGCTAATTTAAGATTGGATGACTTTCTGATGGATAGCTGAAAGGTAGTCTTAAAAGTAATTTCCTTGTAGAAGGCCCAATATCTTGAAGATCATAAAGGTCTTCTTAGTGAAGATTCGACGGTTTTTTTATAGAAGATCTCATGGAACATCCGAACCTCTTTTTATATAATGCACGGTGGGATGAAACAACTGCAACCAGTCCGACAGCTGTTAAAAATTATAAAAAAAGCATTTTTGTGAGAATTTTATAAAGAATCGACTTGATCGAAACCCGCGTCGCAGTGGCCGAAAAATGGCTTGTGAGCTGAACATATCAGAATATTTCATTCGGCAAATATTGAAAAATGAGCTCGGGGTAAAGCCATTGATATTCCAAAAAGCGAAAGAACTTACACTGCAACAGAAAGAAAATAGAGCAATAGAACAAAAGAGCTAAAGAATTCCCGCTTGGCCGAAAGTGGTAAACTGCCGAATTTTGTTCTCTTCGATGAGAAAACATTCGTTGTCCAGCAGTTTGTAAACAAATAAAATTATCGTGTTTACTTACCAATGATGTCAGCTGAAAATGAGCACCATCGGTTGCCCACCAGAACTCAAGCGCCGGCCATGGTGATGGTGTGGGCCGCCATAACAGCCGATGGTCGCTCTCCGCTCGTACTAATCGACCGTGGCATCACAATAAATGCTGAATATTATCGCGAAAATATTCTGGAGGGTGGATTAAAGCCTTAGGCAAGCAAACATTTTGGCCGCATACCTTGGACATTCCAACAGGATTCAGCACCATCGAACTCAGCACGCGCCACACAAGAATGTTTACAAAATGAGGTTCCTCGCTTAATTTCCAGAGCACAATGGCCACTAAAATCTCCTGATACCAATCCGTTGGACTATTGTGTCTGGAGTATTTTGGAAAGCAAGGTTGGCACTAACAAATTCCAAAGTGTCGATCACTTCAAGCAAGCCCTTCGCAGGGAATGGGCCAAAATACCGCAGAGCAACATTCGGGCAGCGTGTAACGGTTTCATTGGCAGTTTGAAGGCCATAATTCGTACCAAAGTTGAACAATTCGAACTAATCTAAACTTATTCTAAATTCTGATGAATTTATGCTTTTATTTGATAAAATTTAAAAAAAAAATTAAAAAATATTGCGTTTGACTTTGTTGCAGTTTTTTATCTCACCCTGTAATTATTTAAAATTATGACCCTTTATGGGGTGGTACCAGAAGGAACTGTTCGATGTATTTCATCTGCATACCAGATCTTGTGTTGATTAAAATAGTGAGATGTACAAAACTTGAAGACAATCGTACTCTTATCTGACATTTTATCGGAATTATAATTATTCAAAATGTTGACCGGTTGTGGTGGAGGTACTACAAGGAGTGGACCGATATATAAAAAAGTTTAAGAATTTTATTGAAGAAACCCTGAAGATCTTCTTATGGTCAAATGCTCCCACAAATACATCCAGATGGATCATATACCCAGATGACTTCTTATATTAAACCCAGATGTATTACTATTTTAAAGAGGAAGGTCTTCTTTTTGAAGGCTAAACTACTTTTTATGACATTCCATATGTCTTGAAGGTATTTTTACAGAAGACCCCAAATAGGGGACCTTATTTTTATCCATAAAGAAAATGAGTTTCATAAGGAAGACCTGAAGTTATTTCTCTTAATAAGGTCCTCTTGAAGAAAATATTCACAGGTCTTTCAGATTTATTGACTTTATTTGTAGATTTTGAAAATCTTTTTTGTAAATAACGACCTCCAGAAGTCCTCTCAAGAAGATATCTACAATGTAGTCTGTATAAAGGGGATCTGCTATGTTGGGAAACTCCAAGAAAGTATTTTATTTAGAAATTAATATTTAGAGGGGCTTCTATGAAATAGAAATAACTTTAAAAATTCCAGAGAAGAACTTTAGAAGGTCTACTTTGTAGAGAAGATCTACAGAAGGTTTTCTAAATAAAGAAGACCTCCAGAATATCTTCTTTGTAGAGAAAATCTCCAGGGGAATCTCTATATAGAAAAGATCTCAATCAGTGTCGCTTTTCGAGATGTCCTACTGAGGGTCATCCGGTCATGTAGAGAAATTCTACAGAATATATTATATGTCAAAAGTCCTCTTATAGAAAATATTCACAGATTTTCAAAATGTATAAACATTCACTGAAAGTGAAATATGTCCTCTTGGAAAATATTTTTCATCCCGTCCGTGACTTATGTTTTTTTGCAATATGATGATGCTTCCACATTTAATCAGAACATCCAAGCAACAACAATGACATAATAATATATGAAATAAACACAAAAAACTAATAATACAAATAAGGTATTTTCTACAACAACACACAAGAACAATAATGATAATTTAACAACAACAATAACTGCAACACAGGAACATTAAAAATATTTGTTTTGTTGTTGTGACTATATCCGACCATCCTTTCTTTCCCTATACTCCCTTTCCTTTAAAATCCTTTAGCCCATGCTTTTTCTTCCTATTTCTTTTCATTTTACTTTATACCCACCTTCATCCATTTAGTCCTAGCTGTAGTTGTTGTTGTTGCTGCTGCTGGTATTTTGTTTGTTCGTTTATAATTTTGTTTTTACTCAGTTATGATTGGCTTTACTTATAAATGTATAAAAGCATAAATCTACACAACAGCAGCAACAACAACAGCAGCAGCAGGCAGAGACACCGCTCCGCCTATTCTACTTTTTAAATGGAATCAGCTAAAAGAATAATACAAAAACAAAACAACCCGATGATGACGTTGACGACGACGATGAGAACGATGATGAATGGTTAGCTGGCTGGATGGCTGGCTTGTTTGCCATGGCTGAGGATGTTGTTGCTGCTGCTCTTAAAATAATAAATAAATATAATTTTAGCGCAAGCGCTACCACCCACCACCCTTCCGAAAGCTATGAAGCCTTGACAACAATACAAGGATAACATATTCATCCCAGCTGCCATACGAAATGCCTGAGTGTGAGTGCAAACATTTTGTTGGTGTTAGTTAGTGTTAAAAGAAGAGGAGTGGTGGTGGTCGTGGTGGTTGGCTTGGCAAGGGGTTGTGAAAATCTATAGTCAACGTGCAAATGAGA